GTGTCAGTTACCAATGGGAAAAGTGTCACTTCTCATGGTCAAGCCTTCCTATTATAAAGAATTAACAAATTATCTCTATTTTAGAGAAAAGACATGAAAAGACTATAACCATCATCCACTGTGACGTGGTAATGGGATAGACATGGTTAGACCCAAGGTCTACGGGATACATCGGCATACGTACTGAGATGACCCCGCTGGAACCGCCACGGGTCTTCTGACGGTACTCGGCTCCACTGGACCTGGTCCAGGACTTCGAAGCCAAGTTGCACTCCGTGGCCCAGCGTGCTGAAGAATGTGAGGCCAAAAGCAAACGAGCATTGGAGACGGAGACGAGGAAGAGCGACTGGCGAGGCGAGTTCTTCTTGGATCCTCCAGTTTGTACCGAAAAGGGGACTTGACGCGAAGAAATAGCCAGTATTTGTATCATCATCCCCTGTGAAGTTTCCTCAACAAATTGGGTCAACCCCTGTTTTGGAAACGACCATTTTGTATAGAAAATGTTGGTTGTCTATAAAATCACTGTCCTGGGTGTTCCTGATTTGTAGAGTCATCAGGGTAATTGAGCATGTTGGCAAAAACATGATTTGAAAGGCAGGGTCCATTTTATAGAAACGACATTTGTGTTTATATCTTTCCGTTGACTCGAGCATGTGCACCCACCCACTATAGTTTTGAAAAAGGTTAGGACACATTTTATAGAGATGGTTGTTTAAGCATTTTTTGGAGGGGTTGATCTTATAGAGAGCGCACTTTTCTGATAAATGTATGTGAGCCCACTCAGGCCAACCCCCAACCCAATATTATAGACTTAAGGTTTCTATCTTGGGGGCCATGATTTTATAGATGGATTGGTTGGTTTGGACCTGTAGATACAAACAGCTCCCCCCCAGGGTTGTCGTGTGAATTTTACTGGGGATGTATCATTTTGTCAATACCCATCTTCTGAGGTACTTGGAGACTCCAGGTACAGTGATTTTGAATTACTGTAATTTGATATTTTCACCAGAAAAACGTCAGCCTCAATGTCCCCTTTTTTTGGTCGCCGCAAACAAGCTGAAATGAGCTACAACCAGTTGTTTTTCTTCTTGAACATCACAGTTTATCACCATATCAACATCCATTACATCGTACATGAACATGGTTTGGTGTACGCGTTCGAACCTGAGTGAGCCCGTTTCTTGATGAATCACCGTCCTTTCTGGGAGTTTTTTTTTTTTTTTTTTTTCGGCCGAAAAGGACAAGGCCTCGGCCGAAATCCGAGCCAGTGAGGATCTTTGTCGGGGTAAATGTTGGTTGCAAGGCAACCCACGGGTTCGGACGAGGGAAGCCGTCGACTGCAGCTATTTTTCCTCAAGCAAGCTTCTGAAGCCCATCGGGGTCGAAAGACGGAACAGCAAACAGAGGTGTGGCTTCACAAAACGATGATGTGTAACGGCTCTTTGAGTCAACAGTTGGAGCGCCGAAGGTTGGAGTTGAATCTCCTGGAAAACGATGTTTTGGCAAAAGGGCAGAAATGAGATCTATCGAACCTGCCTTGCTGATGAACAACTCAAAGTATTGTTTCGGGAGTTGGACTCTGAGATTTCTAACCTACGGACACAGACACGGACACCACCCGGGATTGTCCAGGTATACGGTATACTTAGTTCGTAACCCCTAAAAGGTGGTACAAGTACGTTTTTGTTGTGCTTCAACGGTCCATCCCCTTCACTGCAGGGATTGGGTAGTGGCCCACTGGTCGCCTAGTTGCATGCGGGGATTGATCTGATGCGTCATAGCAATCTGATGCGTCACTAGACCCTCCAAGTACGTTTCTTTTTTGATTCATAGGCCACTAGAGTCATAGGGTCATGTCATTAGACCCTCACTAGCCACTAGAGCCACTAGAGTCATAGGGTAATGTCATGTCATTTCCAATGTTCCTTGGATGTTTCTGACTTCCCAGGTCTAGGAGCATCGGAACAGGAGGACTAGTATTATATATATAGTGCAGGAAAGTTCCTGAACACCTTGCCAAGGATTGACTGTTTCGTTTGTTTTAAGAGAAGCCACTGTTCCCATCAGGACAGGCCTGGTAGAGACGTCTCCAAACCCAAAAAGCCAACATCTGTCGATCGACAGGCCGGGTAGAGTGCTGATCGACCAAACTGGGCGTGCAGATGGGTCCACCCGGTGAGGATCGACCTTGCAGAGTCCACGTGTCCCTGCCCAGTGGTCGCTCTGTCACTGTATCAACCAATGCTCACTCGCGGGTGATGGAGTTGAAGATTCGGGTGACCTTGATTGCAAGAAAAACAAACATTTGTGTGGGGTCTCTCAAAAGAAGATAAATTTGAAATATGTGATCGATGTTCCACTCTTTTTGATCGTTCGCTGACCAGCCTGAAGAAAAAAACAACTACATGCCACGAGTCACAAGTCGGGGTGCCCACTATCCCACTCACTATAGGGACTAAACAGGGCCCCCGACCTGTCGACTCCTGGTACATGGCGTTTCGCTTCTTCGGATGAACATCCCATTCGAGTTCACTCGTCTCGTCGGCCGATCCCATCTCAGGCGAAGAAGTCCTTCGGGGTGTGCGCTTTGGAGCTGATGCGCACGGACGGCACGAGGCTCCGCGCAACCGACTCCCTGGCGGATGCCGGGCTTTGGGACGGCGACACGCTGTCTGCAGTGGTGCAGCTTCCACAGATCATCGCTACCGGTAAAGCCTTTGCGTTGTGTTGCTGTGGAGGGGTGGTTGCCTGGGGCAATCCAGAATATGGTGGTGACTGCAGCTCTGTGAAAGACCTGAGAAATGGGGACAGCTTTGTGCAACAGCTTCAAGCTTCTTCCTTTGCCTTTGCCGCAATTATCTCTGATGGATCGGTGCTCACTTGGGGGAATCCAGCTGCAGGTGGAGACTGCAGTGCTGTTGCGGATCAGCTGAGAGGCGTGCAGAAGATTCGAGGCTGTGTCGATGCGTTCCTTAACCGGGTTCAAAACAAGATTCGTAGGTCTGCTGAGGTTTTGT